TATTCGTTTTTATTGTGTCCGAATTATTAACTGAAGTACGTCCGTGAATGTGGTCATGAAAACGTAAGGTGTTTTAAATTTAATTTTGTGATGTTTAGTTTATTTTTTGGTTAAATTTTTATCGTATTAATAACATGTTGAAGTAAAAGTATTCCTAATAACCGAACATTTTAGAGTATGACACCTAAGTGAAAACATTTGTAAGTATTTATGGATAGTTTTTGTTTCATTTAAAACGTTTTTCCATTTACTTTTTATCAATTTTTCTTCTGCTTTGCGACGTTTATAAAAAGTGACGTATAACAAGAATAAAACAACTCGAATATATCAAGACGGTGATCATGAAAGGGATTTGTCTTGTCTTTTCCGTAAACGAGTAAGCTGCTTTCCGAATGCTGCCAACGTCAAGAATTGCTTTACGTTCTCTCAGCTCTTTCAGCACTCGAATATTGTATATGATTTTGTCATATTCATGTATGAAATAATTTGCCCAATTACTTCGTTAAGCGGCTAAAATAATATTTTTTCGTGATAACCAAGATTTGATAACTTTTTTTAATCGAAATTGCCTTTTCTGTTAAGAAAAGCCAGTTAATTCGCCTAGCGTTTCACAGTACAGTTCTCTCGTAAAATGAAATTATAATAGAATTTAAATGAAATGGCTCGAAAAGTTGCAGCAGAAGCATTTCTCTAATAAAATTTTTCCGCAAAGTTTTAAAGTTAAGGGGCTGTTTCTCGTGGATTATGAAAGGTCTAAAAGATTACTAACAATATTTATCTCGAGCTGAATATAAGCAAAAGTCTAATTTCACCGGATCCACTCAAAGTTTAGATTGAACTTAGAAAGTTGAACAGGTAGGATTTTAGTCGCAAGCATTTGTTTTCGAATTAGTAATGAAAGATAACATCGGTCAACCACTTTCTTGCTAAATCTTGCTAAAAAGTGAATCTTCTGGAAAATTATTTCAGATATATTGAGGATTTTTATTCGGTATGGGAGATGATCATATCTTAGTTAGGGATCTCCAATATTTGAACCATTGGGGGTAATTTTGTTTGCTGTTGCTGCCTGTTTACCGTACTTGCTTATTTATTTCAGCAAATTTCGCGAATATTTTTCTAATGGATAATATGCCTATACCTATTATTTGACTTATTTTTGAGCTGTTTAGATGCGGACAGATTAATTTATTTTATTTTTGCTACTTTTCTGGTGTCCTTACCATTTAGAATTTCGGCTCAAATCGAATGTATAATGAATAAGATGTGTGTGAAAACCCATACTTTTAAATCGGGGGATCATTGGTTTATACATTATTCTGTATTTTTGTTAAAATGTTTCCATTGTTTTAAATTTAATTGCACTGAGTGAACCAACTTTAGCTAAATGTTGCTTACACGTAAATTCATAAATCGACTTTCAATGACGACGGCGTGGTTGTTCGCATTAGTTAGGTCATTTTCAGAGCTTAGTAGGAAACTATTTATGTTTAGACACTTTATCCGAACTTGTAGTTATTTTCTAGGTGTTAAGCTTAAGTGAACATAAGCTTTTCATGGTAACTCTTAGAACTGGCAGTATGTTTCCAAGTGCTAACTTAGATCATGTTTAATTAATTATCTACACTGGTTTTTGCAATCTGAGTTACAAATAGCGCTCCGATGTCTAGAGGGCCCTGCGGGCAGTTTTAAACACAAACAACTTACTTACCAGTTTCCCATATGAGCTTCCTACTCATAAATCTCTGAAATATTTATTTTCTTGGCCGTATTACATCTTATCTAATAAAGCTCAAAACAACCCCCGAATGTTGTTATTCCTGAGTGTCTGAACTTGGCGGAGTTCGGGATTTAGCTAATTAAGTAAAATGAGACAGATTCAACCAAATTTAGTGCGAAGTTTCCAGCTAAAACTTGTGCACCGAGTGACAAAGAAACTTATTTCTAGGTAAAAGTAGTGAAGCAGGCGGGGTCTGGCAAACAGGAACATGTAACACGACATGTTAGAGATTATTTTATTTGTTTTCTTCGAGATGCTCGACTAGAGATTCTATTTTGGGCAACTCGATTTCCAATTCAATGATTGCAGAAAAAAACACGTCTATTCAATTTGCCTCTTAAAAATATCGGCATTTTACGAAACTCCCATGAGAATGGAAAAGAACACGTTTCCGTTTTAAAGGTCTCCAATGACAAATATGTAGGAAATGGAGGAAAACGTAGGAATCAAGTGTTAAGAAAAAATAGCATGTTACTCTTTAAGCGGTTTTCGGTGTGCTGTTGAAATGAACAAAAATGGAAAAATATGCCACTTTCTTTCATTCTTTCAAGATCTTTATGTTATTATTGTGCTAGTCAGTGCTCAAGCGTAAAAATCATACGTGACAAATTTTTGGAATCACATAATTTTTGTATTTGTTTTGATTTTCTAAGCTGCAATTTTTACATGATATGAAGGACCCTAAAAATCCTTGAAATTGCTGAAGTATAATTAATTGCGCTATGAAAAAGCTAGTTTTTATCAATTATTTTGAAACCAATCATACATATTTTACAACTTTTCTTTTATTTATTCTGAGAAATTATCCTCAAGCTTAATATGAATACTCCCGATTAAGTGCTTTATGAAAATCCCTTAAAAAGAAAATGTATACAATAAATCTTAGATGAATGAACTAAAATCTAAAAAGGAACAAAAAGAAAACTTCCGAAATGTGGAAAACCTAGAATATTTTGTGGTAGAAATGGTTTCAATCTACGACGAATAAAAAACTGTTTCCTTCCTATTTGTTCTGTTTCATTTCAGTTTATGAAATTATTAATCACCGTCATTAAGTGAATTTGTTGCAAATTTTGTTGGCTTGCAAAATGAGCTAATCGCGTTTTACAAACATATGAATAATAATTTTGGTTTTCTAACTAAATCTATTTTTTATAATTGGCTTTATACAGAATAATTCAAAAGTACTAAGATGAACTTTGGGAAGTTATTGTTGGTATCATTTTAAGATCATAGGTTCTAATTAATGAAGGTCCTTTAGAAGATGGTTACGAAATTAGAGGGTGTTAAGTTTTATAAAAAAACAAGATTTTTAATATCTCCGAAATTGTTTGAGATATTTTATTGGAATTTTGCGGATGTCTATATCTGTCGAGGGATCATGTTTTTATTGAATCTTATTAAATATTAGCAATCACTTTTTGTTCTCTGCTCAATTCCAAATAAAACAGCTTGCTTGAGTTAATTTCGTAGAATGCAGGATTTGCGAGCAAAATAATAAAAAATCGAATTAATACGTCTTAGAATTGTCATATGAACAGTTATTGTAATTGAAACTTTGCACTTATTGAGTTTAATGAGTAGATCGTTAGGTGACTTTTACTTAAAATATAAACGTCTACAAACAGATGACGCATCACTGGATCTTGATGTTTGGAATTGATCAAACAATGAAACGGTATTTTTTTTTGATATATGAATGGTACATCATTTTTGTCTTATCATATATATATAATATTAAATATCATGTCGGTACTCGTACCACTAGTGTATCAAAAAAACATGTCGAATCGATGTCTATCGACGACTTCAAAATTAAATTAAAATGTTTCCGAAAAAGGGTTCCGCATTATATTTTTGATATAGAACGAATGCGCCCTCTCTCGTTCCTTTATAGATAAGTTATTAGAACTTTCTGTCTTAAAATCATCATTACAAGTTTTCAAATACGAATTTTATCCAGTTCGAAAATGTATCACTTATACCCTTCCGTTCTAACTCCTTTATATTTTTTTAAATTTTGCTAAAAACTGCTGATCGTCTTGTATGTCCGGTTTATTTTATATACTTTAATTAAGGTTCTCAAACATACCTTTAAACACTGACAGTTAAAGCCTTTTCAAAAACGTGGTCAGAATAAATCCGTAATTAAATGAAGAAAATAATTTGAAATTTACATTCTTGCTCGTAATAGACACAACTTTCTAGGCCCGAGATTGAAGTGCACTTTGCAACTCGGTAAACTCAAGCGATTCATAAATTACGTCTACCTCGTTAAACTGTAATATTTCGTTTCTGTGGCCATTCGTTCTTCCTGCCACTGTTAGAAGCATGATCCTCTTTACTTTCTTGCTTTTTAAAAATAAATTAAATGGAGTTTTTTAACCAAGGCAGAAATTGCGGTTATTTTAATTATGCTTTTCCATTAAACAGTTCAATTGCATTAAATATTTCACATAAATTGGGGCTTTCGAATTAAGCTGCGGTTTTTTTCCTCTGGAGAAAAGGTTGTATTCTAAACAATAACTGCATCGAAGGACCATTTTTTACGTACTTGTATCGGCTCGGGATACAATGGCCTGTCAACGAGTTGTTTATAGCTGCCATCAATTCAGGACCGTAAAACTTGTTCCCAAGTAGGGTTTAATGTGTCCAGCATGTTCTGCAAAATTTGGCAAATGGCTTGGTTTCCAATAGGCTAAGAGGCCGTCGTGCCATCACCATAATATCAATCTTTAGATAGACATTTATTGTTCTCTATTTAAATTGCCTTTTAGTTTTGAATTATAGCTTCTGAAAAAAATCGCAAAATTTAATAGCGCTAATTATTAATAAAATTTTAACATTTTTATATAACAATGTTAAAAAACAATGAACAATTAAATGTTAAAACACACTTTCAGAAAATTAGTTTTTAATCAGTTTTAAAGTATTATCGCAATTACTAATTACATGTGCTAACACGATCAAGTAAATACTCCCATATCACTCATGAAACCAGGCTTTCCATAAGTAATATCCTTTCGTGAGAAGGGTTTCGTCAATTTTGAGAGCCTCTGGATACTGGAGTTATCCCATATTTGACAAGATTCTGATTTCACACTCGAGAAGGGTGTGGAATATTAATTTATATTAGTCTAATAAATTTGAACTAATTTATGGGGATTGGATTGCATCGGTCATGTTCAGGTATGTAAGAAACTTAGACGATAACTCATGCTCGTTTTTACCAACAATAAATTTATTTAACAATATTTGTGGACATTATATTCGTAACTAGGCACGGGTTTATTACACAATTGACGGAAAACAGAGCAGTTTATTTCTTCTTTTTATTGGTATTTAGGTCCTGGCTTTTAAGCAACTCATCCAGCTCTTTTAAAACAGATTCTGTTTTTAATTTTTCTGAAACAAAATACGAACTGGGAATATAGAGAGCAAATATTTTGCAAACATTGGCACGATCACGAGTTAAATGAGGTCGGATTTTATTTCATTTTCATTGTCTCGAATTCTATAAAATATTGAGGCAACACCGCACGTTATTGAGTCTGGGAACAAAATTATTTTTTTGGGATTTATCGGGTTCTGAATACTATGCTGTTTTTAAAGCAAAAATATTATTTAATGAAAAATGGAAACATTTATTCAATATAAATGTGCAAATCTGCAATCGTGATCGTGGCTAGTAACCCACTTTATTTCAACTTACCAAGATCTTCAGCAGTTTTGATAGAATTCTCCAATTTGGAAAAAATCTCGTTAAATAAATTACAGCTCGTTGGATAATTGTATTTATTGTTGGCTTCAATCGAGATTCGCCATGCCCGCTCCAAAATATTTTCCCTGCTAGGTATAATATTGGAGTATCCAAAGTACGTTCTTTTATACTTGCCTCCTTCATAGCATAAATCGGCAAGGTCTGTGCGCTTGTAAAGCTGCATATCTAACGAAAGCTTTATTGCTTCAGATTCATCTGTGCCCTTTCTTTCTGGAAATATAGCAAATTCTCTGTCTAGACAGCAACTACTGATGCCCATCTTCAATTTTCTCTGATTTATTTCACTTTCTTCGAGAAGTTTATTGATTTCCTCCAAATTATTGCAACTCTTCGAATAGTCGCGAAATTCCTGGAAGTTGGTGCTGAAATTTCGGTTGATGGGTTTAGTAAATGTCGACGTATTTCCAGCTTTGACTGGTTCCTTTGGCTCCTGGTTGGGACATATTTTGCAGTCTTTTTTGGTGGCTTTAAAAGTTTTTCGTAGGTCAGGAGGCAAACAATTTGGATCTATGACTACCAGTCCTGCAGCGTCTGCAGCTTTCTCTGCTTTCTGTTTCAAGCTTTTCTTTTTATAGTCTCCGGGCTGGGGGCAATTGGGGCGAGCTTTGAAGTAATTCACGATTTTCTGCCAAACCGATTCCAATTGCGTGAAGCTTTTGCTTTTCTTAGGACCACATACGGGCTTGACTGCTATGTTTTTGCAAGTGGGTTTAGGAGGGCATGGCGGTTTCGGTGAGCAGATTTTCTTAACAATTTTTTTCTTGGCTTTGTCACATTCGGTCTTGGGGTTTGGTTGGTCCGTGCAAGCATCAGTTGTTCTTTTCTCCTCCGCTTGCAAATTTCTTTGGGCTTCACACTTTTCCTTACAGTCAAGTATCGTTTTACAGCTATCTCTGCAAATACAGTATTTTTCCTCCTCCGGCAGGTCGCAAGGTATCGTCTTGATGCACTCCTTAATACAGATGTCTTCGATTTTTTTCCTATCCAAGTCGCAGGGATCAGGTTGACTTGGCGATTTCGGACTCTGACTGCAGCAAGTAGTTTCTTCTAGTTCAGCGAGCGGGCCTTTTCGGTGACTTTGAACTAGAAATTCGAAAAGAGGGTTTTTCGCAGATTTTTGAGCAGATGAATCGCAATCGTTGGCATCTTTTGAATTTGGGCCACTTTTTGAATTAAAGTAGTCACCGTGTGGGTCGCAGCCTATTGTTTGTCCCTCTTCACCTAAACCGTTCTTACATTTATAGTATTCAACGCCCATACCTCTATCAATCCTTTCTTGTGCAGGATAATCTTTTACTATGGTAGTTGAGTCGCGTAGAGCCGAAAAGCGTGGCTGCAAGTCGGGCCTTTTTCCCACTTCGTGTCCACATTCGCATGCTGGAGTGATTCGTTCATCAGGATGGCATTCCGAGAAGGCCGGATAAGGGCTGATTGGTCTAGCGCTATCTTGCAAGGTTGGCGTTCTCTGGCATATTTTCCTATGCAGCCTTGGAGGACAACCATTTAGAGTGAATTTCGAGAAGGACTTTTTCTTGCATTTGTCCCGTGTTGCAGCCCCATTAGGTTTGCTTTCAACTTTCAAATATCGTCTTCCTCGGTAATATTGTCCTGTAGATTTCAATAGAGCTGATGCCCGAGAAAATCGTCTGGCCGAGTTAATGCTTTTTAACAATTTTGAAATCCTCCAGTGTCTTCTGGATTTGAATGTTGTGTAACACCTGGTTACTCTTCGAGCAACTTTATTTTGCCGTTTGAGGTACTGGAAGATTTTAGGGTGTTGAAGTCTCCATAACTTGTCTTTCAGCCTAACAACCTTGGTAGTGTCGTCCATATTTGGAAATACCTTTTGCGTAATTTCTTTTAGCTTGTCTATGTTGTCACCCAGTACCGCTTTGTCTGTGTTCTTAATAAGAGCATGAAATTTTCTGACGTAGATTCTTTTAACCTCTGCCGGTGGTTTTTTATTAATTTCTCCGGTCGTTTTAGCTGAAAATGTACTAAAATCTCTGGGTTTTGTGATTGGTTTCGGATGCGGTAAATGCCTGTTCTGTTTGAGGTTCCTTGGCGGCCATCGGCCTTTCATCGTTTTCAGCTGTTCTTGAATCAAGCAATCTCGATTCACTTCCTGAACCATCTCTTTAGTTTCCATCAGCGGAATGGGCTTTCCGAAGTCTTTGCACGATTGTGTCACACCCTCATTTTCCATGCAAAGTTTCTCTCTGAGACATTCTTGCTCCTTCATTAAATCAATTTTTCCTTGCGATGGTGGTGGTGAAATAAGCAGCTGTGGTGGTGGCTGTTTAAACCTCGGCTGCATTCTATGGAATTTCTCTTTATCCAGAGGACACTCTGTGAGGATATCCTCCATTTCTTCATCTAGGCAATCTGAAAATGCCGGAAAAGGTGGTGGACGCCTAACCGTATTAGGATCACTTTTGAAGTCTCTGTAACAACATCTGCGACCCTCTTCGGCCACGCAAATGTCCTCAGTTTTGCATGTTATTTTCGGTGCTGAAATCTTCTGTCTGCATTGATCTCCGCTTTCTTTGGTGCCTTTCGGCTTTTTGCATGGTTCAGGAAAACGAATTTGGAAAATTTTTGTAGTGAACGAACGGCTGTGGTTCGATGACAGGTTGGGCATGGCCGTCTTCTTTAAAAAAACTGAAATTGATAAATTCACGTATTAGATCTAGGAATTTTACTGATGGCTAAAAATCTTACCTTACCTTTGGATGGTGGTTGATAAATCGATGCGTTTGAGCTTCGCACAGTTAATGGACGAGCGGTTTGTCGGCTTTTGCTCGATTTCGTTTTAGGCATAGCGCTACTAGATTCACGCCTATAGGGACTTGTAGAATGGTTGTCTGAAACATTGCGTTATTGAAACCTTAAAATTTGTTTATTTGAGTTCTTGAAATTAAAGTTTTCTTGCATCAAGCATATGCTTCTTTCCCGCATTAAATAAATTGTTTGTTGAATTGTTTCTCACTCTAATTTTGTCAAATTTTCTTGCTGCCAATGCATTTCCTTAATTTATTTTTACCTCAATTTGCATGGAGAATGCTATTGCTGTTGTATCTTTTAACTTTTTTATGGGGACGTTTTATGTGATCAAAGGATTCACATAAATTTGTACGCTGACCTTTCAGCACAATTGAAATGCACTCTGTGGCATTGTTGTTCAAGGCAGAAAACAGTCCAAATTTAATGATAAATATAAAATATTAACTAAATACATTAGTTACACAACGTTAGTTAGTACATGGTATTTAATAATTTGCCGTATAATTTCTTAATCATTTCTTGAACAAAATCTTTTTTTTAGTCTTCGGACAGCAAGGCTATTCTAATTTGCTGTTGAGTTAATGTTTTTGCAAGCAAGTATCCGTACGTGATAATAATACCGTAATGGGAAAAGAGTAAATTACTATAGTAAAATTTGTAAGAGGAGAACGCTCAATTTGGTCGATAGCGTTTTTCGAAATAAATAAACATTATTATTATTATTATTATTATTATTATACCTATTTTAGTTTGTGAATTTTAAGTTCAATAAATTGAAAATCCAACCAAACAGAAACCAGACGACACTTAAATCAATGTATGATGGAATTTGTGTATTTATATTGCAAATCTATTATTCCCCTTGATTCCAGATAATATAAAACATGGTTTTCCATTTCAGAGTGTGGTTTCCTCTTATACTTGTTCTAAACTGAAAACTGTACTACTAAGAAATTTTTAATTGAACAAGTTTTCAGTTTTCGGAAACGATTTACCATGACCGTTGTTCTTTTACCAAATGACCCCTCTGAAATTTTCGAAATTTTGCTGGGTAATGTGAAGTAGAAATAAAGATTACCTGCTCGTTTTACAGAGTCCGTAGGAGGAAGCTCAGCAAGCAATGTGGAAGTACTATAACGTTTTAGATTCTTCGTTTTATCTGAATTGGGTACATCGTGCTCTTTTTTGTAGACTGGATGGAATCCATATTGCTTCCTGTTACATGTCCACTGCGGAGTTTTAGTATGCGTATATGGTTGAATTTCTCTGTTGAGGTTATCTGAGTATGCTGTATAGGGTGATTCTTCCTTCTCGCAGCAAACTGGAACTCTTTCCATTTTGCAGAATGGTCTGCACTCTCTTTCGTTATCTGCATCATGGCAGACGTGATACTTGGGACATGATTTCTTGCACATAATCGCCTTCAAGGAGGGTTTAATTTTCTTGCATTTTTCCTTTGCTTGGCACTCCTTTTTCTTCTTCATCTCCGTCTCACTATGGGAATGTTCTGTGGTTGAGATTGCTCTTGATGTTACTCTCAGCGTAGTTTGTTTAGGTTTTTTCAAAGTCTGGGCTGCCATAGCATTGGTTTTTGCTATTTCTTTTTTCTCCAGCTCGGCAGTAGTACTGGCGATAGTTTTCAAAATATGGTTGTAGTCCACTTTTTCTACTTTTTCAGGTTTAAACAGCAAGTGTTGGCTTTCTCGATTGCTAGTTGTCTCTAGCTGGTTTAACAACTTTACAAGTTGCAAGGCCGGAGCGTTTGCTGACTTCTTGGACGTCCCTTTTAGTTTGGGTGCAAATTGAGTGCTTTTTCTGGTAGGTTGGCTGCTGGATAGCGAAGTTGGTTTACTAGCTGCACTCCTTGAAGTCGTTTTTTCACTGGTGGATTTCATTCTTTGATAGAGCTTTAACGAAGAGCTGCTGCTTGCGTTGCTGTATTTCCTTTTCGAAACATTTCTAAAGACAGAGAATTGCATGCGATTGTATTCATCAGTGTGTTCATTTACCGATAATCCAAGACCCCGGCGCCGGCGTTTTCACATATCGACGGTTTGCGACACGGTTTTTCTTTCTTCGGTTTTTCGCACTTTGGTTTTGGCGGCAGACATTTTTCGTCTACATCTTCGCAAACATCTTGCGTATACTCCCAACATCCCCAATCTGCTCGTGGAAATGCCCGGCATGGATCTGGGACGATGCAATCGCGTGGTTCGTCTTCACACACCAAACGTTTGAGATTCCAATCGATCATGGGTTTGTCCTCAAATAGATAGAAAAGTTTCGTCTTTACTTGGAATTTCTAAAGATCATCTCAAACTGTTTGCTGATTATTCATCCTTAGATAAAGAGCTTAAATATTGCAAAATAATAAAAGTGGAGGAGAAAAGTTCAAAAAAAAGTTTTATCATCTATCGAAAATGGGAGATTTCCAAAAACCTTTTAAACTCTGGTCCCCAATTATCAGCAGTTGGATACAATTCTATGATGTTTAACTCTCTCTAATGTTCTCATAAAAAATATATCCTCTTCCATAAAATGTCTTCAGCAGAAAGCGCTTCAATAGAAATTGTTGCATGCATTGCGAAAATATGAAAAAATCTCCTTTGTTACTCTGAAGAAAGTAAATCTTGTATAGGAAAAGAACTCAGTCCCGCATTAGTTGGTAGGACGTTATAAGGTGTAATTTGGATATACAGCCTACCAACGTGGCAAATTCTTCATTTTATATTGATTTGAATGATTCCTTTTTTGTTAGTTCGATACTGAAAATAAGTATTCGACTTATAAAGACGAGTAACCTTTCATCTTGTTAATTTGAAAAAATATCCTCAGGTAATGCAATTTTTGGAAGCAAAATTATGGGCGATTCTTACTTAAAATGGTCTAAAATCCATCTCTAACATTTTTTATTATACCGGGTCTACATAAAATTCCCAAAATCAAGTTTTTTAGTTAATCCACCAAAAACCAATTATTCTTGCATAATATTTTATGATTATTATATTGATTTTCCTCAAGACGATATCGCAAACCGGAAATCGGAATAGATGGACTTTAGGCCATTTTATGCGAGTCGGCCGACACGTTTTTCCTCTAATGTGGCCTTTGTCCTTTATACCTTATATTTGATTTGACTGTTATGCTGGTTTCTCTTTGTTTCTGTTGTAATTGCATTTTAATCTTCTGCTGCTATTAATAAACCCACACGGTAAATGTTGAACAATTCCGCTGAATCGTTAGGTACAAATTGCATTCAACCCTAAGATTTGTTAGGACTTTACCTCGCATGGACAATCTCCTGGAACAAACTTGGGAAGTTTCTTCCTGCGTTGTTTCAGATTGTCGTCAGCCCTTTGCACCTCATCACAAGGGCGCGGTGGAGGACATACACGTTCCGGTTCCGGAACATGCAAGTCTAGCCTTTTGATTGGAGGAGCTACTGCGGGGGGTGGGGTATCGATGCATGGGCACGGTGAATCTGGTAGGAGGGGTAGTCTTTTTGGGACAACTTTGAAGCATTTGTCTGCTCGCTCTGGACAAAGGTCGATCACTGGGCACACTCTAACCGGTCGACAAATCTGCAACCCATAAATTATAGGATCGTACAAATCGGAAACGTACTACTTACTTCCTCTGGTTCGCATCTGGGAAGCCTCTTCAATTTAACGTTGTACATCGGCGGCGGTTCTACACATTCGCACACTTGAGGTACATATGGTTTCAGTGGCTTGAACTTGTAGGGATTGTCGTCATCAGCACGAGGAACATCGCATGTAGGCGGATGACAGATCACCTTGGGAGGATCCTCAAATTTAAACTGTAATCTTTCCAGCTTCGGATTTACAGTCGGCACTGGCGGATCTATGCATGGGCAGGGCCCTGTACGAAGCTTTGGAAGCTGCTTTGGCCCGATTTCGAGACATTCGTCTGCCCTTTCGATTGTACATCTAGTATCTGGTTTACAGTCCCTGTACTCAGGCCGTTGAAGGCAGGGATCTACAGGCAATTTTACTTTTGATGGTAGATACACACTTTTGCGTCGTTCATGCTCTTGTTCGCATTTTGCCGGCTCGTATGGAAATCTGGGGCTTTTGCTCTTCTTAAAGCTTCTGATAAACGGTGCACAAACGTTATCGCATTCGGGGTCGTACGATTTATTCATATCCGACTTTTTCGACTTCTTTTTATTTTTAGGTGCTCTTGAATAATTTCTCTGGCTCACAAATTCACCTGATAGCTCAATTTGTTGCAACGGTTGCTGAGTTAGCACTGATTTTTCGTTGCAGTTAATGTTGCTCTTCGACCGCGTAGTTATAGTTCTGTTACTAGGAATTGATTTTAGATTTTCCAGCATTTTATCTGACCGCTCTGAAGGCGTAGCTACTGAATAACTGTTGCACATTTTCAGAGCATCGCAGGGGGCCAGAAAATTTCCGTTTAAGCCCATTTTGGCAGTCTGCTCTTCTTGTAGCTTACATTTGATGATATCTGAGTAGGATGAGCGATAATGTATTGACCCTTGGCGATTTTCGGCTTCTTTTCGTTCTTTTCGCATTGCAGGCGTTGATATTTTCAACGGAAGTTCATCTGTTTGTTCAACCAAATTTTTCGGAAGCGCTTGGTAAGAGGGAGGCGAGAAATCGACAAATTTGCTTCGCATTGCCCAGGAGTTTTGGTAAGCAATTAACTGCTGCTTAGAGAACTGGCGATAACCCGATAAGTTTAAAGTGTTAGGAAAACGAAGTTGCTCATTGGGTCGCATTATGCCACTGCTATGTTTATCTTTGGTGCTGTCGCCTTCTTTTGAAACGCACTTTTTGGTCGTAGATATTTTCCGCGTTTCTTCCGAGCTATGCGTAGCTGTAGAAAAGTTTCTCTGTCCTTTTGCAGGCGTTTCTGTGCTACCGACAGGTTCGAGTTCCGTCGTTTCTCTAGTCATTTGTCTTTTCAGTTTTTTCGGATACTTTAAAGAATTGGTCGGTCTTATAAGCATGGGCGAATAGAGATTGTCTGATGAACCGTACGGTTTCATCTGATTGGGCTGCAAATGAGTATATCTGTCGACTCTTTTGTATTGTAAAGCAAACGCGTCAAATACATCTCGGCTTTTTGAGGGACGAGGCCGCGCTGCTTCCAACTCATACTGTTCTAAAGTTTCAAAGTGAACGGAGTCAGATTTTGTGAAATCCGACTCGCCCTTTAGCGGCTCAGCTTCTTGTAGCCGCACGGAATTTTCCTTCCATTGGACTTCGCTTGCATCTGGCTGCTGTACTTTAGCTAAGAAAAATGAGAACAATATACAATTGCTAGTAAAGTTGTTGCTATCAATTTCTGCCAAAGTACTATGGTTAAGAGTTAGGGGCGATAATTTTTGCAGGGTTATTTACGATTAGTGTGTGGTTTCAGGAAACACTGGAGGTAATAAGCTCCAATTTAGGCTACCTGAGTATTTTCGTAATGTATTTTAAATTATTAAAACGATGCGATTTTTTAAACCAAAGATGATCAAATCTTTTAGTAATTTGGCTTTTGTGAAAAGAATCGTTGCCAATTCGCATGTGCTATTGTTTCATTTTTAGTCGCATAACAATTTTTTCTTAGAATTAAAATAAGTTGCAGACGTTTCATAGGATCTGAAAATATTGCAAACCATTAAATTGGATTATGGTTGCAAGCACATCTTGAAAATTTGCATTGCTGAAATGATTTAAAACCAATATATCGGGTTTGTTGATATAGTAAATAAAATTAGTGATTACAACATTACGTTACATTCGCTTACTTTGAAACGCCATTTTTTCAAACTCGAATTAGTTGACGAAATATTGATCAGAGAATAAATTGAAGCATTTAGACCATAATACAGAGTGCCCCGTAAGCACATGATCAAAAGAAGACGATCTTAATTAAATTTTACTACTAAGAAAAAATTTGTGGCTCCTCTGCTATTGATGGTCAAAGCTATGAAAATTGCTGTGAATTTGTTCCTATGTAAGACTCATGTTTTGCTGAAGTTCATCCGTTTTAGGCAAGTGAAGAGTTCTTCAGTGTCTTGGTACGAAAACTACCAGAGCTTTTTATTCGATAGCTGGAATCAACTGATTTTTTTGAGTTGATGCACTAAGCTTTTTAAAACATTTTTGCGCTCTTTGCAAAATCTTGTAGCATTGATAAGTTTAGCGCAAAAAATAATTCTGTCCTCTTGCCAACTGACGATCGCGCGAAAAATCGCTAAGGTGGATGTTAATGAAATTGTGGGTTTGTTCCTACGTCAGGGCCATATTTTGCTAAAATTGTGTTTTTATTTCATGAGATATCTGATGAAGTAATTCGCACGAAAACGCTTCCAAAAGATAACTGGGATTAAGACTTTGACATTGTCGGTCAGTTAAAAATTGCAAAACGCGTGCCAATTAATTTATTATAAAAGAACATTATCGCTTACTACGACATTTGCAGTTAATGTCTGAAATTGTTGAATAGCAAAAAACAGAAATATTTTTGCGTAAAAACTCTGGATCCTTCAATATTTGACAAAGGGCCCAAAAGTGTGCAAAGATGATTAGTGCATCCACTCAAAAAACCTCAGTTAATTCCAGCTACCAAAGAAAAAGTTCTGGTGGTTTTGTGCCAAAACACTTAAGAATTCCTCACTTGCCCAAAGCGATGAACTCCGTTGCTTTATCAAAACATGAGCCTTGCATCAAAACAAATTCCCAGCGAGTTTCATTTGAAACCGTTGCACTATGTTCCCAATATTTAAAAAAAACACATTTTTTTAAAGAACTTTGACCATTAACAGCAGAGGAGCTGGACATTTTTTCTTAATAAAATTCATATGGTCTTCATTTGAGCCAAATAAAATTGCAGTGCCCTTTTAATCATGGGCTTACGAGACACCCTGTATAATACTGTTATTAACTGTGAAACTTACATAGAAATGGCTTTCCTCAAATATTCGTGGAAATAAAAACAAGATCTTTTGTAAAAAGACACTTTCCAACATGTTTTGTTAAACGACGGTAATTTTTTGTGTTCTTTTAAGTCTTAAAATTCATATCTTCCTAAAATCTGTAGATATTGAGAGACATTCACATTTGAATATCCCAAAAGAAACCTATAAGTGGATGTCTTTAATCGCGATCTTTAGACTTCATTGTTTTTCAGTTTCATTCGTGAACATCAGCTCTTGCAGTTGTTAGATTGATATATTATTCAGAAAGGAATACGGAATTGAGCTTGAAATAAAGGCGATGTTTCTGAGATATTAAATCTCAATTACCCTACCGATAATAGATCATGGTTAAAGTTTTAAAAAGAAACAAATGTTGCTTATTAGTGCGCATTCTTGAATATTAAATTTCGAACATTTGAGTATTAATTGAGAGAAGAATCGTGTTATGTAATTGATAGGTACTGACTTTCTGGATAAAATAATCAATTATTCAATACCAGCAGTTGAAATCTTCAAGCGTTAACTTCATTGTAAATCCATCCTGTAATTTGTTCTTTGATCGTGTAAAACTGAAATGAAATTAAAGCCTTTTTTAGCTGTTTGGATGGACAGACAATTGTAGGAATCAGAAAAACAATTTCTGTGAAAAATATCTTCATTAATAACTGAATTCAAAGTTTTACATATTCGAGCATCTTCATTAAACACATGTTGTACAAAAAGCTGCCTAAACGATCAGTTTTGTGGGTGTGAACTTTTGCAAGTACTTTTTACGAACACGATATTTTTGGGCAACGCCATCAGCGCTGCTAATAAAGTATTAATAACCTTCTCAAGTTGTAAGAGACAGAAACCCATTGCATATTGAGTGAAATTTACAATACATACATTCGTCATTGTTTAATCGAATTGCTTCCGGACACGTTTGCGTGTAGTTGAATTCCGCGTCTTTTGCATTTCGTAACAGACAAATGTGCAAAAAGAAAACCAGGACATTTGTCAAAGAAAACTACTTCCACGCAGTCAGGGAAATAAGCAAAGCGAATAAACATTTTCCACTCTTTTACCGTAATATTCCTTACTGAAGCAGAGCGCCCTTGCCGGAGGCTTTCCGGATATATCTACTGGTGAATTGCCTCTTTCTGCTCTGGAACACGACACGGACCTTTCGGCAACCGCAGAAGCATCGGACCGCAGCCTTTGAATCGGAGACAAGGATCGGAAACTTCTTTTACGATATAACGACGAAAAGGCATATTCCTGAAAGGAAAAGTAACATATTGAATTTATACATGTTGTTTTAATGGACGAATAGACGTCAAACACTAATAAACTATCAAGTTTAGAGATGATATTGATATTTTCGATGCAAGTTTTATTAAGCTGCCTTAATAGCAACATCCATGGAGCTGGCAATTTATGTTTGTGCTCAATATGGATTGGAAAGCAATTTGAGAATCAGTTAGTATAAACACACACAAGCTATTAGTGCCGTATTCGCCATTAATAAAGTTAGGCTGTTAGCTACCAGCTATATTAAGAGAGCAGCCCGTTAACTATAGTATTATCATCCCATTTTCCAGCCGAGAAATTGATAATAAACGAGTAAAGTAACGGGTTTTATAACTCCTTTTGATCGTTTTGAGAACTAATTTTTCCAATTCTAAATATTTTATTTGTGACTTGTTGAAAATTTACGACATGTTTGTCAGTAGCCAATGTTTCACAATTTTAACACATATTCCTGCAAAATGTATGTCAATATGTACTTACGCTGGTACATTTTAAACTGGGTAGTTTCAGCACCAAGTTACGAATCATTGTACGGAAATTTTGCAAAATTTTTGAATGAATTCTCGTGACTTTTACATATCTGGCCGCTGCAGTCACCTGAGAAGTTGTCACTTGTATCCAAGAGAACTAATGATTCAACAATAGTTCGCGGAAGCGGTTTACGGTTTAACTTCAAGATAGAAATTTCAAGTTTTAAAAATATTTCAGGTAAGTTTGTTCATCTACTTAGCAGTTTAGTTACAACTATTTTAAACCCAATTTTGTCACCACGGGTGGAAATACGAAAAATTCGGAAACACGTTTTTCTATTCTTGCTCCTAATTGACCTGAAAACTGAACATAAAAAATATATCGAGTTTGCATGCTTTAGGTACTTCATTGGTTCATAATATACTGATTTGCGGAAACGCCTTTTTTCACTTCAATAATCAGGTCAAAGGGAGAAATTTCCTGCCACTTTTCGAAGACTTTTGATTTGTCTGCTTTGCTAGGAATCTTTTAGATCTTCAACTGCTTCTGTTGTTTTCAGTGCAAAGTCTGCTGCAAATGCAACAGTTCGCGACCCATTGTGGTGCACCCATAGAGTATGAGGTAATAATCATTTTAGTAGAACGGACAGGACAAAACTGTTTCTTCTTTTTCCAAACAGGTTTATCTCATGTCTCTTTATTTTCATGCGAGGCGTCACTTGAGAACGTTGTTTTTTTACATTTAAATCTTTCTATTCAAAATTTGGTGTCAGATTGTGATGTTTAATGATAACCACATTAAATTGAATTGTTTTTCTAAAATTCAGATACTGCTCATACACGCTTTCACATATCTTGATTTCAAATTGTATACTTCCTAAATTTAATTTCCCCTGATAAATGTGCGCTGTAACCATCCCCAATCTAAGTGTCATAAGAATTCTCAATTTTGGCGACACTCTTCTTTAGTGAATAGATCTCCGATTTATCGGAAGATTATCTGCGGTGTGCATTCTGATCACTTGAAGTTGCAAGTGTTCAAGTTTCAAGTTCAAATTATTCATGAAACGGACAGATTCTAGACCACCAGACATTCTAAAATATATAGCTTTTTAGGGAATCTTTGTCATACTGATCAAATTTACCTTTCACTTTTGGTTTCATATCTGAAATTAATGCATTATGAAAAAATCGCTAAAAATGCGTTCAGAAAATGGCGAAAAAATATTAGTGTCCGACTTTTAAACCATATGAAATATCATATGGATTAGTGGTCGGACAATTTTTATATGTTTTAATCCATGTACGTATTTGGTTTTTGCCGTCCGTCCACTAAATACGGGTTAAAACTTTTACTGTATTATATGAAATAAAAAGAAAATATCGATATGGCTTGCAAATAAATAGATAGTGACAAGAACTAGAAGGCCCATCTGTTTTCAGTAGTCGGAGGCGCCTCCCCCTACTGGTTTTTATTACAAAATAATATTCCAGTTTGCCGGCCATCTAAATTTTAGTTTAAAACATTATTTGCGTTTTTGTAATGTTTTATGTAAATTTAGACTGTTATTAATATATTTAACGTTTCCGCTTTTCCCAAAATTATTAACTTTAAGACATAACTCACCTTTGTGCCTCACACCAATATTTAACACAGACAAACTGGAGAGCACCAACACATCGTCACTTCCGCGCCTTTTTAACGGTTCAATAATCACTCCACAAATTAAAATGATAAAAAAATCGTAGGGAAACGTTGACAGAATTCATATCTTAATGATCTACGGCGATAATGTTTCATGATTTCAAGTTATTTTCAAATATATACGTTATGGCCGACTACTGGCTGTGTCCGGCTTACTGCCGAAAGTTACCCTACTTTGGTAAATTCTTAGTATTAATTGTGTTGAGCTTGACTTTCTTGAGAGTTTGTCGAAATTTATTACAAAACAGTTTCGATGTTTAACCGCATTTGGTTGCACAAAATAGAGCTTTGCAACCGATCCATCTGGAACATAACATATAATGAGATTAAAGTGTAAAGAAATTGCGAAGAAATTGATGTAATTTCAGCTGCGTAATTCAGGAGGTAAATAGTGAGAAAAGAGAGCGAACGGCCGAATACGTCCATGCAAAGGGGACGGCTAGAAATGTTTAAGAGTAGAGCAAACATTTTGGGGAAACACATTTCGTTCTTGTTTGTACTTCCATTACTATTAATTAATCGGTTCTCTTTTAGCTGGATTTGTTTTACTTCATCACGCTTCATTTCTCGCTGAGAGGATTTGGTTGTTTGCTTTGCACTCGTCAAAGGCGAGATTTAGCTCGATGCATATGGACTAGATTAATGGAAAAATAATGTTTTAAAGGTTTTGGCATGGTATGGTTAAGCTGTTATTTCTCTTTTGTGATTTGATAACTGATAGTACTAGTCCTTCCGTCTCGTCTTTACTGAAAAGCTATTCGTAATTAAACGATCGCAATAATTTACGAAGAATTGAAGCAGCTTTGAAAAATGCCATCGAAAAGCACTGAACTGGACTTACTTCTCTCTGTCCAGTTATAAATTTCCTTGCAATTATTTCAATAAATGCAAGCACAATCCTTATAAATTCACTACCGGGTTTCTCATTTAGAGATATCTTTGGCCATTAATAACGATAATGCTCCTTATGAACGTGCATCAATAAATCACGCATTTAAAGGGGGAAAGATGAGAATAATTTTCCTTCACGGAATTACTAAAATTTGCTTGGTATTAGAACAAAATAAAGATTTTTACTGTGTGCGTAAGGCTGAGATTCATTGATTGAGGACTGGAAATAGTATATCATTTGTGATGCTAGATGAAACGCATCATTCTTTTAGGAATCAAGAGAAACACTCAACACATAAGAATGTACGCCTTCTTGTATATCTCTGGGCTTAGTAATATCGAATTTATGCAGAGCAATGTTGCACATCTATTTGAAAAATAACTCTCAAGGATTGTCATCAATAAGAAAGATTGAAATATGAGTACTCACGCCATTAATATAAACGAGTCCTCGTTTGTACGGCAGAGCTTGTTATTGATTGACCTGGGATTGGAAAATTAACACTTCTCGTTTTATTTATCTGAAGTGAATTATTGATATGTATTACTTGCTTTGAAACGGATCTATCGACTGGTGGATATACAGACTCAGACGGAGTCTCAAATGTGATATAAAAAGCGCCTGTAAATCGATCTTGATAGTCACACAGGTATTTTTCTTTGAAACGCTAATGAAATTTATAGTCGAACTAGGCATAATACATATGCTGTTAAGCTTCTAGGTTTCTAGGTTTATTTTATAGCTAAGTTGATTCTTTATATCGTAAAGACTAATTAAAGATAACATAAGTCTGAATTTAAATAGTCCGTAACTATCTTAACAGTTGTGGAGAGTGCACGAGTCTCACAGTATTTAACAACATGTGGGTTATTTCGTTCCTTCTTCGGCTCATTAGGTATTTTTTCATTTTTCATTTTCATTAGGTAAATTAGATTGATTTTATTCGTGTGAAAGTAATAACACATTTATTTCTTATGGTATATATCACATTTAGGCACTACTTCCACGGAAACTAATTTGAATGTTTGGACTGTTTTCTAGGGGAACATTGAAAATCTTTTCCATCTAAACGAGATATGTTCTCATAATCATGGAGCACACAATAGGGTGCTATTGATTTATATGTATAAATCATATAATAAAATTATTCTTAAAAACAATAGAAATAGTTCTTTTAAATGAAAATGACGGAAGATGTTCTGGTTTTCAGATGGGCGGCGGCGGACAATCCATCTACTCCCTGTCGGAAAGAGCATTTGGTCTTGAAGGTAAGTCGTTTTATTTATATGAAATTTGTGAATTTGCTTTGAAATTTTTGTAAGCTGTTTTATTGATAATTTACACAGTGTCTGTACGTATTCGATTTTTGAGTTATAACGAGTGGAAATCCCAATTTTGCATGTTGCAACGTGCATAAATTGTTGATGTATGTTGGATGTTGAAATTTACTAGGGGTTTGCGTATGTTCAAAGTCGACGATTGACAAATTGTAGTTTATAATATATGAAAATATGAATATTTTCAATTCTCAAAAATCAAGAAAGAATTAGTTAAAGTTTGCCACCAACTATAGTAGGGTATGAACAAAAGCGCGTTTTCAGATAATTTGAGCATTCCAAAAAAAATATTAATTAATGAATCTGTTTAGTGTAATAAAATTTACACAATATTTTACCTTAATCATTCTCTTGATTTATTGCAATCAAACTTATAACTTTCTGCTCTCTACTTAGCACATGTTCAAAACAAATTTAATCAGTCGTTTTTTATAACTGTTTTCGTGATGCTTGACACTTTCTTTTATTTTTTGTTTTTTGCTTTGATTTTATAATGGTAATTATGTCTTGTGTAGTGAGAAAACACAGCGATCGTACAAACATATTTTAATTTCCAATAGCCACATTTTATATAACTGCCAATATATGGATTATGAGAAACTAGATCTTCAAATTTACATTCCATATCATCTGCCTTGGCATCTTAGAGGTAACATTTTACTGATAATGAAAATTCACTCATTCAGAATTCACAATATTCCTTATTTGTAATGAATACGTTGAATTAATCTAGATTCGTTCCCTGCCATAGACCTACTGTTCATATGAAATGTGATATAATTCTCGCTTTATTACGTAATAATTGTAAGCGAATGATATGTTAAAATATTAGAGTCAACGATTCAAAGTCAAAGATTATATTTTTGGTTGACTCGATGATGCATTTTTTTTATCAGATTCTCTTTGGTTTCAGTGTTTTTGTTTCAACATTCATAACATCCAAGTGTTTCTAGTAGTGTACATTGTTTTACGTAATTTTCCGTAGCATATTTCTAGAGAGTGAAAAGGGCATAACAGACAAACGTGCTCCGTTCAGTTTTCTTGCTTGCTGCAATAACACTAACCGATATATTCTAAAAGGGTTAGCGCGAACAGGCGAAGCGATTGTTTGTATTCTCCCCTATTGCTTATTGAATTTATATTTGCATTTTATTTTCACGCAGTAGATGAGCAGGAAACGAAAACATTTGCCTGGAAAAAATTATCCCCAAGTACAACGAAAAAAAAAGTATAACCGAAAACCCGTGTTTATCTTCAGTTATTACGAAACCCAATAACTGCGCGGCCCATCGATAACGAATTCATTATCGCAAATTCTATTCATCGAGACTCAGAATTCGGACTCCTCTTCGCAATAAGCGATCATTTTAAAATTAGATAAAAAAGTGTCGACGATTCGAAGCGAAACTTTCGAACGATATTTCCATAGGCAAGTTGATATCTAACGGTTTGCCTCGTTGAATATTTATATAATCTTCACATTTCTCGCAGCGAATGGAAATGTCTTATATAGATCTCTTTCAGCTTTCCCGTGTCTTTCAGTTTAATGAACCTCCGAATTCAGCACTTTGTCTCTTTCATCCTCTACTCGAGTGACGTGATGCACGTTCTTTCTGCGGTTCAGTTCTTTAAGCAAATTGAAACTTTTTTCCTATTTTTCTTGAGATGATTCATTGATCAGTCATTGCTCTTCTAGCTGAAAGTTTACAAGATTACTTCCGTAAGTGGTATTTTGATTGCTCAAAGTCGAAGTAGTGGCGGTTTATTCAAATTACTTTTTAATCCCAATACAAATTTGAAAAACTTAATAATTGATGCCAACATTTCAAACCTCTTATCGAACCGAAACCAGCCCTAACGATTGCTCTGTAATATCTCTTAAATTCAGATTCCCGATTACTGTTGTGCTTGAAAGACATTCAAATGTATGGTAATTTTCAATTTTCAAATACGTCTAATGGCAGAAAAAACGTAGGCAGAAAAATCTTCCCCTTTAGTTAAAATTCTGCCGAGTTAGGTAGCTGAACCGGCTCCAATTTGTAAGTATTAGGCGCCTCTTAACATATATGAATAATTGGGGAAGTTCGTACGAGATGAATATTTGTTCGGGAAACTCTTCGGAATTATGTTTTGTTCTCCACGTTGCCAATAGCTCGTCATTGGAATTTATTTTGGTAATGATGCATTTAAATGTCTTACTTTCTAGTGAAGGGTCTTTATGCTTGAGACTTTCAAGGGTGAGCTCATTTACAAAGCAAATTTACTCTCTATAATATACGGATGAGAACGAACCTATATGTTGGGTGTAGGTGGAATGAACGAGCAATGAGTATGTGCATTTTTTGTGTCATTAATTATATTGATTTTCTTTGGGGCAATATCGGTTATTTCAAAAAAGTAAAAATGGTGAAATAAGAAAATACTTTCTAAAATTGTGTGACTGGCAAAAATCAACATCCTGTAGTTTTTTCTTATTAGCGTGAAGTTTTACTGACTGTCTCTTTTCAATTAGTAATAATATTATTCAACATATAAATGATAGAATTAGGAATTCATGGCAAGTCAGGAAAGTCAAACTGGGCATTTTAAAAGAAGCTCCACATACTGCTGATTATATTTCTTTTTTTTTCTTGATCCTCTGTTTTGTGGCATTTGTCATCTTCATCACTTTAAATATTTTGTAAGTGAAAAATTATTGGAGCGGAGTTTTGCAACCTTGAGGACCAGGTTAGACTTACTTATCCAAATGGATAACTTATACAATAGTGAAGTGAATGTAATGAACATGAATAAGGCACCATAAGAAGAATAATCCAAAAATATTTTTTTTATAACGCTAATGAAAAGCAGCAGAGGAAAAAGCGTACACCGAAGACAAATTTATCCCGTAGTAAAGAACACGGTGACTAAGAGGAAATGGAAAACGATGATATTTTTCAAGATAAATCGGAAGACATACCTACTAATATTTTGATCAAAATAAAATGAATTGACTAAAACTAGTCACACTAATATGCGGATAAAACAGAACGAAAATGAGCAAATAGTGTCTGGTCTGCTCCAATACTATATGGTTAACTTAATCAAAAAGGATCTTAGTAAAAAAAACATTTTTCCTGAAAGAAAATGTAAAAATAAACGTAAAATTTAACTTGAAGCGGATTTATCTTTCATAAAGCCTGAATGATTTACCAGCAAACATTGATGTGTTATTTTTTTTTAAACAAGGGCTTATACGTTTCTATATCCATAAGATGTTCGGAACAGATACGGTTTAGCAGCCAAAGCTTTCGACGGACCATTAGTCGTAAAAGATTTAGAACAATATTTGGCTGATCTTCCGCTGATAATATTAAGTCGCCCAAAAAGATTTTATTTACATTTTTTGTGCTGCATATGTGACAAAGCTAGTATTAACTGAATATTTATACTAATCAAGGAAATTACATATGTAAAGCGGTACAATTAAAAACAAAATGTTAGCAACAATATACAGGGTTATTCACGCTATACGGCACGGACGTTTGCGGTTAGCCCGTTTGTTTTTTGCAAAGTATTATTTGATGAATCCACAGACGCCTATCGGGTGTACATTTTAAAAATATTTTTGTAATGTACAGAGTGTTCCAAAAGCCCTAAAAGTATCAAAGTTGTGTTTTTGTAAATGAAATACCCTACATATTATTGCATTTTTGGATTCTCTGAGCAAAATAAGTGTTTGTTTTAATAAGATTTATAATGTCTAAATCTAAAGTTTTTTTAAAATAATTCGAATTTTATCAAAATCTAATGTGTCAAATACTT